ATGCGGTGTCATTTTAGATAAGTTGTCATGGGAGCTCTCTCTGAAGAGGTGACATTTGAGCAGAGACTGAAAGGAGTGAGAAGCATCCATGAGAGGCTCAGGGAGGAAGCATTCCAGGTAGAAAGAACCACTTGGTACCTGTCCTGAGGTGCAAACATACTTGGTTTGTTCAAAGAGTAGCACCAAGACCAGTGTAGCTGGGCTGGAATGAACAGAGGGCAGCATTGTCCTATGGGAATTAATGAAGTCTTTAAAAATGCTATGGTTCTAACATACCGGGATAATTGTGACACCGACTGGTATTTATTGTGCATTTACTATGCGCCAGTCACTGTGCTGAGTGCACTGTTTCATTTGTTTCTCATAACAATTATGTGAGCTAGAGAGTGTACATGTAAACGGAGGTCCCAAGAGAGTTGAGAACTTGCCAACGACCACATAACTAGCAAATGGTAGAAACTCATCACCAACAAATTTAATTTCACAGCTCACATTCTAAACCACACAATTTCTACAGTACTTACTAATCAAACGAATAGTCTCTAAGAGAGACTTAGAAATGTGACCAGGAAAATGTGATTTGGAAACTATCACAAAATGTTCTACAGACCTTATGTTTGAGAGTATCAGTAGGAACACAAAAGTCAACATGTTGGGTAGACAGAGTAAAAATCAAACTTCTCCCCAAATAAATGAAAAGGCATAATTATGAGGATTTTGGCTTCCCTAGGATACAAGGTTAATCCTTTGAAATTGCTGATCAAATCACCAATGTGGGAGTTGTGTTAAGCTCTGTTTCTTCCAGCTAATGAAATATTAATTTACCAAAATTGCACAGATGTGCATAGGCTGTTTTTATTAGCATTTGGGATAGGATTCAAAATTACAAAGGAAATTCTTTAAATATAATTTTAGCACAAATGGGGAAAACACACAGTACTAACTTTGAGCTATAAACCAGTTAAAGTGTTTCTGTAAATTTGCCTATATTTAAATATTAACAACTAGATACCCATCATTTATGTTTGAGAATAAACAGCTCTAATAAAAATGTGAAATCTTCCTAGATTAGTATTCTAGGTACTAATGATTATGAATATTAATATCTTAATGGTTTTTGTGATAAAGCTGTTTGCTTGTCATTTTGAAAGGTAGCCTGAGTGTAATGTTCTGATTTCAGAATGTATACTTAAAGTATTATAACAGGAAAAACTGGTAACTTAACCGTATATATAATATAATGCTTAATTTGAAGGACTTTAGCATGAAGACATATACATTTTCTTGACTTATTTAAACATTTGTCTATTTGTTTACTAGACATGTGGCTAGAAACCATACCATTTGTGTTCTTCAGACTATAGGCATGTGTGGGAACCATGCCAGGTGCCGGGATAGTCAAGGCTGGTGGGAGCACAGAGGTCCTGTTATCAATACACCAGAAAGGCCAAAGGCCGCTCTGGGCATGTGCCTAAACAGGATGTTCAGGGACTCTGAGCCTGGGAATCCTAATCAGGCCAAGATACCATGATTGGGTGCAAGGACACAAGGTACACTGTGCCCTTCTGTAGCCAATAGGATTAATGTAACTATTGTCACGAAGCCCTCTTTGTCTAAATGGTATCAAAGTAAGTTACTGTCCAGCTAGTTGGCTGGGGTGAGAGGAAGTCTGCTGGAGTATGGAGAGAGAGCAGCTGGGATGGAGTGTGTGAAGAAGTCTGCTAGAGAGAGCAGCTGGGCAGGAGAGACAGGAGAAGCTGCTGAGCCGGAGAGTTCAGGTACCGCTACGATGTGAGGTGGTGAGTCTAGGATGCAGCGTGCGGCTGCTTAGATAGTAGCTGTGGGTACAGGGACTGATGCTACTTTATCGGAAAGATATGCATTGACCAGCCGGTGTCCGGCTGCCTGCCTGTATGGACTTTGCTGTGAGGACTGTTCTTATCTGATGGCTATATGGCCACTGGCTTCTGCAATAAAGACTTATTCTTGTACACCCACAACCTCTCATAGCCTATACCCGGCATCCTAGGAGGTCCAGCCCCAGGCAGAGGGGCTTGGACCCAACACCTGCTGTCTAGTGAGCAGAGGATAAAGGAGAAGCTTGGCCTAAGTTTCCAACAGCTAGTACAGTGGGCAGGGTTCAAGCAGGAGCCTGCCTGGCATAGTGGGCTAGGAGAATTTAGAAGAGCACAGGTACTCACAGCCTTTCAGAGCCAGTCAGACCAGCAGAGCTCTGTGGTGCTCTTGCTGCTGGCTCTGACAGCATGATCATGTTCCTTCAGTATTTCCTGTTAATTTCAAAGTTTAGGGGGCAACATTCAGAGGCTAAAATTGTATTATTGGGACTCAGTCACTTTTCTTCTTTGATGCTATCATTCTTAAGCTGACTTTCTCCATGTAGTAGCAAAAATGTCTCCCAGAAGCTGGAAGCTTATGTGATTCTTATAGTAATACCAATTGGGAACAACAACAAAAAAATGAACATCTCTCATAAGTCCAGGAAATGTTCTGCTGAATCAAATAGTTGTGAATACTCTGGTCAGGCCTGGATCTCGGGGATTTGGGAGTCCCTTTGTGGACCTCATGGACTATGAGTGTAGTAATGATTTGTCAAAGACAAATCAGGAAAAGCAGGAAGCTAGGGATGCTGGAAAGGAAAATCCAAATATATTTTATTTTAGCCCTGGCTGGTGTGCTTAGTTGTTAGAGCATCGGCCCGCACCCGGAAGGTAAAGGGCTTGATTCCTGATCAAGAGCTATACCTGGGTTATAGGTTCAAACTCTGGTCCTGGTCAGGGCACATGCAGGAGGCACCCAACCACACGTTGATGTTTCTCCCTCTCTCCCTCCCTTCCTCTCTTTTTTCCAGTCTCTCTAAAAATATCCTTAGATGAGGATTAACAAAACAAACAAAAAATCATATATTACTTTGTATGTGTAAAAATTAAAATCTTGGTTTTTAAAGCATTTCCTGTTTCTTACTGTATTATTTAAATATTTTTATTGATTTCAGAGAGTAATGGAGAGAAAGAGATAGAAACATCAGTGATGAGGGAGAATCATTGACTGGCTGCTTCCTACACATCCCTTGAGCCTGCAACCTGGGCATGTGCCCTGGGCTGGAATTGAACCCGGGACCCTTCAGTCTACATTCCAACACTCTACCCACTGAGCAAAACCAGCAAGGGCTCTTACTATATATTTTTTTAATATATTTTATTGATTTTCTACAGAGAGGAAGGGAGAGAGACAGAAAGTCAGAAACATCGATGAGAGAGAAACATCAATCAGCTGCCTCCTGCACATCCCCCACTGGGGATGTGCCCGCAACCCAGGCACATGCCCTTGACCAGAATCGAACCCGGGACCCCTCAGTCCGCAGGCCGACGCTCCATCTACTGAGCCAAACCGGTTTCGGCTCTTACTATATTTTTAATAAACTATTCACCTTTCTTCTCTTAAGAAGCCTTCACAGACAACTTAAGCTCTTATTAATATTAAATCAACTCAGACTACCATTCTACATACATATTTTATTTATGCCAAGACAACAATTTTCCTATTTTAATACCTCTAAATTTGGGGTCCATCTTATAACCATTGGTGTGTTACACTTTAATTGGCAACATTTTTTTATTTCTCAGATGTATATAAAAAGTTGATATCTTAAACTGAATGTAAAATGCTACTTTTCCATATTTTATACTTCAACTTTTAGTTACATTCTCATTTATATTTTTAATGCTATAGATATTTTTATACACCCTTTGTAATAATAGCCATTGAATATATTTGTCCCACACAATGTTTGGCACATAACAATCAATCAGTATATGTTAAATGAATGAGAAAATAAATGTATTAGTTATCTGTGAAAGTTTTTGCATATATAAATACACACACATACATATACATACATATACATGCAAAACATATGTGGGTGTTTTGATAACAAGCTAGGCTAATATAACAAAGATCTAAAAATACAAGGTTTACATAAGATAGAAGTTTGTTTAGTTGGTGGGTGTCCAGGGAAAGGAGGTGGCTTATCTCTGTGTGGGCATCCAGGAAGTTGGTCTTTTCTGTCAGATTGGATTCATCTTCTATTCAAGGCTTCTATTTTTGGTCCAAAGGGTATACTCCAATTGTTTCCATTTCCCAGCCAAAGAAAAGTATTAAAAAGAGTATCTAGGACAGATTTATTTCTTTTTATGTGCTAAAAGTTGCAAAGATCACTTCCTTTCACATTCCATAGGCCTTAATCTAGTCTGCTGGCCACACCTAGCTACAAGCGAAGCTGGGAAATGTAGTCTGCAGCCCTAGATAGCTCCTTCCTAGGATAAAATTCAGAAAGTTCTATTTCCAGGATGGAGAGAATGGACCTTAGGGTAGCAGTCTCAGCCTTAAGTAAAGGCTCTAAGACAGAAGGTTCTTAAAACATTTTTTTATGAATGTACACTAACACTTGGGAAGTTTTACTTTATTATACAATGAGTATTGATAGAATTGAACTACATTTTCCTCAATATTTGAACATTAGAAAAATATCAATTTTATTTCAACAACATGTGCCAGTTAATACCATTTAGAAATATGTGTTAAAACACTTAGTTGTCACCATTTCTCTTCATCCATTCATTTGGGATTTATTGAGTTGTTTTTTGTTTTTTTTTTGTGGCTGTTTTGTTTTTCATCTTTTAGTTTTTGCTTTTTCAACTTATCTTTATTGAAAGTATTACAGATTTTCCCCTTCTTCCCCCATTGACCCCCTCCACCCCGTACCTGCCCCCACTCCATACCTACCACACTGAGTTCTTGCTATAGGACAGATAGTGAGCTAGACTGATAGCTTAGTTATTATACTGTGAATTTTCCTCTCTAGATGCTTAAATGGAAAAGTGCAACTTTATAAAGTGCTATGAAAAAAATGAGGTTTTAATATGAACTTATTTAAGTGTAAATAAATGATCGAATATGTATATTTTTCACTCCCAAAATAGGTTCTTCGGGTGGTTCGGCTTATTAAGATTTCACCTGCGTTAGAAGACTTCGTGTACAAGATCTTTGGTCCTGGGAAAAAGCTTGGGAGTTTGGTTGTATTTACCGCCAGCCTCTTGATTGTTATGTCAGCGATTAGTTTGCAGATGTTCTGTTTTGTCGAAGAACTGGACAGATTTACAACGTTTCCAAGGGTAAGAACAAAAAGATGCGGTTGAAGTCATTATTCTTATTGTAGTAATAATGATTAACATCAAAGTAATTTCACTGTAACAGTGGTTCAATCATATTGTCATCTTTCTGATAACTTCGAGTAGCTAGTTTTAATATTTAAGTGGTCTCTTCTGCAGGGCGCAGGTGTTTGAGCACATGTGCAGCTTATGCATTAATTCTACAATTCTGGAAATAATCACATGGAATGAGATGCTGAGACCAGTAAAGATTGAATGTAGGGTTCTCAGCACTGTTAAATGGAAACATAATAGAATTTTAAAATAAAGTTTGCTCTTCTTTGTTTGTGAGAGTTAACATTTTAAAATCTGTTTTACAGTTCGTATATTCTTATGTCGGGTATAATCCAGAAGGGTGCTTTTAAACTTTAAACTCATAAACTCTTCTAAAGATTTGAAGACCCTTTAGATCAACCTTGGCTGCACATTAGAATCACTTGGGAATCTTTTTAAAATCCTGATTTCTGGCCATGACCAGTTTGTCTCAGTAGATAGAGCGTCGGCCTGTGGACTGAAAGGTCCCAGGTTCGATTCCCCGGAAATTCTGTTTCTTTGTTATGGGGTGGGGCCACAACATTAGTAACAAAGAAACAGAATTTCTGGAGGATGAGGCCCAGAAATCAGGATTTTAAAAAGATTCCCAGGTGATTCTAATGTGCAGCCAAGGTTGAGAATCACTGCTATAACCAGAGGGATCCTGAAAATTAACTCCATGTGGATTTAGAAACATTAAAAGTTTAATGACCAAAATAATATAATGTATATATCTTCACCATAAGCTGACATAGTAAATCCTATTATATAGAAAAAGATAATATTGGGATAAGAGTAATATATATATATATACACACACACACATATATACACTGAGTGGCCAGGTTACTATGACCACCCCATCAGTACTTCGTTGGGCCACCTTTTGCCTTCAATACTGCGGCGATTCTTCTTGGCAGTGACTCCACGAGGTGTTGAAAGGTGATGCGAGGAATCGGACACCATGCCTGATGAATAGCACTGTCCCGTTCTGTGAGATTTGATGGCTGTGGAACCAGCTGCCTGATGGCTCTTGTAACTTTGTCCCACAAATGCTCAATTGGATTGAGATCTGGTGATTGTGGGGGCCACCTAAACAAGGTAAAGTCTCCCTCATGTTCTTGAAACCACTCCTGCACAATACGAGCACCGTGGCATGGCACATTGTCTTGTTGTACACCCATATATATGTATATATGGGTGTGTGTGTGTATTTTTTAATTAAATTTTGAGGGAAAGGATGTCTGTATACATAATAGCTAGACTAATTACCCTGGGGTGTTTTTTTTTTAACCTGTTGCTAAATTTATTACTTATCGCCAAGCATTTGCTGTGTGCCTGAAAGAGCCAGGCCATGTTGGTGATCCTGGGATATAAATACAACTAAGTCCTAAGCCCTCAAGAAATTGTTGGCTGAGGGAGGTAACCAATAAGTAAGCATAAAGCCTTGATACAGGCAAGCACAGGGCTCTGTGGGAGCTCAGAGGTAAGATCCAGAACCAGGAAAAGCCCAAGAAGCGGAGGCCTGTGACATCTCCCTCATTACCCAGTGGTCAGGTGTTGAGGTTGGTTGGTTAATGACAGTATGTGTCAAAGCACAGCCCATTAAGAGAAGCCATTTTGTGTAAGAAAAATCATATGATGCCTCCAAAAGTAAGCTAAAAAAAGGTAAACTTTAAAAATCAGCAATTGTTTATATTATCTTTACTTGGGTCCAGGCCATTTTGGAGGCTGACTACCACCAATATACATAGAGCTATGGGATGCAGGAGAGGCTCTGAGAGAACCAGCCATGAGGAAAGGAGGAGTCCTGCAGAGGCGGGACGAGCCTGACTTAGCAAAGGGGACTTAGTGTTGGTGCCAGGAAAATAATTTTTCTCTGGCTGTTTCTCAAACCTGATCTTGACCTAGCCATCCAGGTGGCATATTCTCTCTAGAAATAGAACTGGATGTCAAACTAAACACTGTTTCGATTGGACCTCACTGTATCTTGGGCCCCAATAACATGCCATCGAACCCTCCTAAGAGAATTGAAAGGTTCAGGGTTGGGCCAGGGTCACACAGAATGGACTCAAGGCTCAGTGTAATCAAAATGATAATTTATTCCAGGTACCTGGGTGCAGGTGGCCTGACTCGAGAAAGAGCCAGCAGTGAACTGGGGAGGGCGCAGACTTTTTGTGCGCTCGGGGAGAGCTGCAGACGGGGCTTCGGCTTGACCCGGGTATCAGGACCGTGCCCTCGCCGTAGTTTTATGGTCTGGTCCTTTGTCCTTCTGTTGGCACCTGACGTCCTTTCTCAGGGGGCCGTGCAGGGGTGGTGGTCTACAGGAATTTCTGTTAAATAACCACTCAAGGGGAGCATGTTTGTGCAAGGCTTAGGCTAACAGAACGAGCTTTCCTTTGACATCTGTTAGATTTTGTAAGGCTCAAGCCTTATGTTCTCCAGTTAACCCTTTCAAGGACCTGACATGGACATGTGGAGGTGATTTCCCCATCCAAATTCCAAAAAGGGAATCCTGGAAGGGCAGGAGGCCAGCAGAGAAAAGCAGCCAGGCATACTGAGTGACCCGCTGATGGAGCTCACCCCACATTGAAGTACCCCAGGTACTTCCCAAAACACTGGAAGGTGAAGGGGATCCTAAAGGCATCTCTCACTTGCATTCCACGGGCTACCCAATGGGTCTACCTGCCTCTGTCGGGCACTTAAATCCATTTTCCATTTACAGTATAAATGATCTTTCTATGATATAAATTGTCTCATTACATTCTCCTGTTTAAAATGCTTCAAGGTTCTCCATTCCCTTACAATGGCAAACCTTTTAATGTTTCTCACTATCTTTTCATCCCTAGCTCTATTTACCTCTTCAGACCCCGTTTCAGGATTTCCCCCACCACACCTTTCAAAGGCAGAGATGGTGTCTATCTTGCTCATTCAATCCTCACTGCTTAGCACAATACTTGCCACAGGGTAGCTATAAATAAGCTTTTGGATGAAGAATGAATAACAATGCTGGACCAAAGCAAGCTTTTAGGTTCTGTTCTCACTGTATTGGGCCAGCAAGCCAGGTTCTTTCTTCCACTGCTGTCCACTTCTCCAGGACCCCCATTAGCTTCATCACTTCCTTTACCTTCTATCCCACCTGAAATTTCTGCATAATTCTGTATGAATAATTTGGCTGCAGATAGCAGAAAACTTGACTCCAACTGACTTAAACAATTAGGAAATTAATCTCACAACATTCAAGGGATTAATTAGACTCCAAGAAGCCAGGGCTCTGAATTCTCTCAGGTGTTATTATGGGTTAAATTATGTACCTCAGAAGATATGGTGAAGTCCAAACCTCAGGACCCCAAAATGGGACTTTATTTGGAAATAGAGATTGTCAAGTTACAATGAGGTCATAAGGGTGGGTCCTAATCCAATATGACTGATATTTTATAAAAGGAGAGATTTGGACACAGACACAGACATACACAGAGGGGAGGTCATGTGAGGACACATGTGGAGAAGATGGCCATGTGATTGTTGTGGCATCTACAAGCCAAGAACCTCCAAGGACTGCTGGCCAACACCTAGAACTAGAAGAGGCAAGGAGAATCAGAGGGAGCCTTCAGAGGGAGCATGGTCCTGCCAGCACCTTGATTTCTGACTGCTAGCCTCCAGAGCTGTGAAATAAGAAACTCCCGTTGTTTGAAGCCACCCAGTTTTTGGTACTTAGTTACAGCAGCCCCCAACAAACTAATGCAATTGCCTTCTCCATGTTCTTCATTCATTTTGTCTTCATGTTCACAAAGTGAATGTGACATTTCCAGGCTCCATGATAAACTCTAGAGGGGAAAGGGGGCCATCTCTGCCTGGGCCTCCTTAGAAACAAGGACGCCTTTCCCAGCACCACCCTTCTTCCCTCAGCAAAGTTGCTCTCCTGTCTTACTGGCAAGATTGAATAACTTGGTCACTCCTAAATGAATCATTGGCAATATGGCTGAAGTAAAAATGATGGGCTTAGATTACTCATATGGCAAGAGATGAATATTTCGAAGACAACCACAAAAACCACTAGAGTGGTCGGACCCAAAAGCTGAATAAAATTTTTCTCTTTTACCTCTATGCCAAAGCTCTCACAGGCCCAGTGCAAACGGTGTGTAAATAGACCTGTGGTAGGAAGAATGGCTGGCGTTTCAGTTCTTTCACCAGAAGCATCTGGGCCTCAGCTCCTTCCCAAGATGCCCAGACAGTACCTGCAAAGCAGCCAGCATAGGGCCTGGCACATAGTAGATTCCTACCCCCGCTCTTTTTTATGGCAATCGCCACTTTCTGTCACACACTATTGACATTTGTGCACAGATCTTACTGACTCTACTAGAGTACAAGTATCGGAAGTGCTTAACACTGGAGAACAAAAGAACATATTGATAAAATATAATAAAACAACTTTGTCATCTCAAGCCAATAACTTTCTCCAAACAGACAGGCTGCTAAGTAGAATTAACAAGGAAGAGCAAGTCCTGCTGAGAGGCAGTATCCTGCAGTTCCTGTTTTGTTGGGATAATAGGTTGTTTAAAAGGAGAACAATTCAGGTTAACTGTTCGTAATGAAATAGTTCTGTACAGGTTATAAAACGTGTCGCTAAAATAAGCAGGATAAGCCCTCATTTGTTTTGCTGGTCTACAAATGGGTATCATTTCTATTCATAAATAATGCACTACCTTCCATAGCTTGAGGTACTTGAGTTTTAAACTTGAGTTTTAATGTTTATTTGGTATGTTTCTAATTTGTACTCTCTAAATGCTAATTACTTGCTCTATTGAATTTTCACTTAAACTCATGTCCAAATCAGTTATACAATATAAGCGGTAAATGCTATAAAATTAATTACAAATTAATTTCCCTGTTTCCTCTCCACGAAAATGGCTAATTGTAGTTTTAGTTGT